CCCCGATACCAAACCTTGCCACGCAAACACAGTGCAGCTGGCTTGGTGAGTTTTCCGTCTGTCACAGGCATCCATAGGCATCCGTTCATGCCTTTGTACAGTGAAAATGTCTTTGTTTTCAGCCAACTTATTAGACTCTTTGTTAGTCCCACAGTCTTCTGCTCAGTTGCATGCCATGCTCAGTTTTCTTCAGGATTGCCATCCATAAACCACAGTTTGAGAGTACTGTCCCCTAACAGAATATTGCCCTGTGTCTAATCACCCAGACAGGTAGCATAAGTTTTTGTCATTGACAGTTTTGTGAGCTACTGTTAGTTATTTCTTCCGGATCTGGCATGACGGGTATGGTCTGGCTCAGCAACTCTTGCAGCTTTTTTTACATTCTTGTTGCAGTGGCTTTTCCCAAGGCCAGGCAGCACTTTTGCTACTCTCCAGAAGAGAAGGACATCAAAGACATCAGCCCAGCTCTGGGCAGATGCATGACACCTGGCCCAATGCAGATGATTTCAGAAATGTGTAACAGAAAATGTGCCAGCTTTGGCTTCATGCCTGATTACTGACAGGGAGAGAAGATCTGGTCCACAGAATAACCAGAGCACAAAATAAGCAGACAAGTCAGCTCCGAAAGAAAGCAGCTAGCACCTAGATGACAGCAATCACAAGAGATAGCATAGAGGTGTCCATATGGAAATTATCACATATTAATTAACATGATTCCATTCTGGAAGACAAGGAAGCGGGAATAAAGAATATAGCTCCTCGATTAGCACTGGGAGTGTGAAGTGAAAGTAGGTCATGTCAGTGAGCAGAAGCTGAACTTCCTGCGACTTCAACACCCTCATTACAGGTTGAAAAACCCTGAGTGATTACAGTAAGGTTAATTCCTCAACTTAGTTTGTGGTTTTCTCCTCTTCCATGTCTTGTAGACCTACTTGCACACGGTTTCATTGTGGCTTTTCCCAGATAATGGCTACGCAGAGTTGCACTATGCAAGAGCAGGTGTATGTTTAAAAGAGTCACACTCCGGGTCACATTTCCTGCATGACCCAATAAGATGATAAACAATATGTGCCCCTGCCCTGTAGCTTGCTTTTCTTAGCCAACCAGCAAACACAGAGTGCCATTGTGTCACCCTGCCTGAAAGAGCAGGCAGAGAGCTGCTGAGGAGATGAGCAGCCAGCTCAGGACCTCCGATATCCCTAAAAGGAACTAGAACCACAATTTGCGCAAGCTTGACCAGTCATTCAGTGCATTATTTGATCTGAAACTTACCTTCTCCAGGATATATATCTCTCCCATAAATACACAGTTTATATCCACATTTATTTTCTAGAATATCTGGCATGATTTGGTAAACAAAATATTCCACAAAATTAGCTTCACTGGTGTGGCTTCTGGGGTAGATAACATAGGCATCATATAACTTCCCGTCTGTAAGGCAAAACAAGAGGACAGGGCATTGTGTTAACATGAATTAGAGCTGTCTATTGTAAAAGCTAGAAAAGAAATAAAAATATCAGTCTTTGAAATAGATCTAAGTAGATATTCTTGCTAATCTGAATAATATCTGTCATTGGATGCATGTTTGGAAATAAGAGACTGTGCAGGTTTGGTGTTTTCCATGCTGAATTGTTGTGTCCTGTGTGTTTGTAACTTTGGAGAACCCAACCTTTGTATTCTGAAGGCTGTATCCCAAAATACAGAGAGTAAGAATTCACTTGATCAATGCATATCAGCATGAAATAGAGATGAAGCTCAGCATTTGTTGTTTCAGTGATACAGTAGGCTGTTAACAGCCTTTGTTTTTCAGGACAAGACACTCTACTTAAATTCTTCCACCTTGAAGGAACATCATTCCCACAACATACCATACTGCTGAGTGAAAAGCTCCATTACTCAGGAAGTAGTCTTACAGTCAGAACCAAGTACAAAGTCAAATACTTCTTTCACTCTTTTCTTCATTTCTCTCAAACATGTTTTCCATTACAGCATTTGTTTTCTAATTCCAAATGTTTTTGGGGTTTTTTTTCCAGTGGAGATGATAATATCCTTTCTTTTGTTGCTACCTGAGGTTCTTGTCCAGACCATCCTTACAATCAAAAAGAAATAGCCATTTCCAGAGTCTGATTAATTTCATCATAAAATATACTTAGATGGAAACTGCCTTAAAAGCATACTTCTTTCCTCTTTAAAGAGAACATAAGTAACTAGATTAGCTGTAGATATCTGCCATGCAGACATCTGTGGTAGGAGCCAGCTTCAGATTTAAAAAATGTAAATTTGGGTGTCTACATGTCTAAACTGCTACAGTCAGTGGAGAACCAGCCATTGCGGTTAGTGAATTCTAGAGTGATTCAGATTACTCTCATGTAAATGCCAGGGGCTTAGCTGAGTTGCCTAAACATAGGCACCTAGTGCCATTTGAGTCTTCCTATGGTACCCTGCCTGCCAGGGTATGTGTGTGTTTATATGTGTGTGTATATGCATATATATATGTATGTATATATGTGCACCCCTGCTCCAGAAGTCTGCAACACCCGGCAGATCTGTATTATGTGTCCATTTTTTTGGCCATCACAAATGACTCTAGGTGCCCATGTTTAGACCGTTGAGACAAGGTCCCAGTGCCTGGTTAGCCGAGTCGATTTTATTGATGAGGAGCTGGATTTGGTCACCTAAAAATATGTACCACATAGTGTCATTAAGCACTGCTTGCCCTTCAGCTGCCACTGCAGAGGGGTTCAGGTCTCCCTTAAGTCCTAAGGGAGCTCAAGTGGCACTGCTTACAGTTCGACAGCTGAACCCAGCCCCAGGTCTCCAGGTTTCATGTCTATGATGGGAACTTGTGTGTGTGCAACTTCATTGCACGTGACTAAATTTAGCTGCCTTAATCCTGAGCTGAAGTCTGTCTCTAAAGGTGGATGGGATCTATTCCCCCTAAAAGTGTCTTCCGCAATATTGGTACCTTTCACTTTGGCTGATAAGAACTGCATCGCTCTAACACGTGCCTGTGAACACAGTAGCCAGCAGGCTGGTTCCTTTGCTTTAGAGAGCACATAACAAGTACAGTTAATTGCAATGTAAACCTGATTTTCATTGTCATTCGATGTTTCATGTATAATATTTTTGTTTTAAAAATATGAAACCAGGACTGAATCCCTCTTTTATGTAATACATCACTGCAGAACCCAGGAAACAAGGGAATGTGAAGCACTACCAGATCTATGGTTTTCCGCCCTTATCTAAAAGAATTCAGTAAGACATGAGGAAGTGAAGAATCGGGATCAGGTGTCATATGAGTTAGTAAGCAATTACCAAATAAATTAATTTCCATATGCTTTGTCTTTTTCCTTTTTTAAACTTTCTTCCTCAATTCTTACTTACCGTCCTTGGCTGAGTAGGGTTGAAATATCTCCCGATACAACAGGACGATATCAACTCGGAAGGACTGATAAAGTATGAGAGAGACTGCTATTGCAACTAGCAGAACTAGAGATCCTACGATCAAGAGGACGTTAGGAAGACCCACTGCAAAGGAGAGGAATACATGGTTAGTTGTAGAGAAGTTAGCCCCTGGTCTGAAGACTCAACCTCTCATATCCTCACTTCTGTTGCAGCTTTAAGGATCTCACAACAGAAACGACAAAGTTTTTCCTTCCCCAGCAGACAGACCCCTAAACTAGAAGCATACTAAGCACTATATAATTAGTATTTACTTCCGTCGAATCCAGACCTACCTACACTAAATACCACAGCTGACAACTATGTTTAAGTATCTTGTAACACTGTAAAACTGTTAATAACACAACAAGGAACAATGTTCAAGCATTTTGTAAGGCATCTAGCTGTTACGTGTCCACAAAAGGACAAGCTGAGGCTTCTGGTGTAGTTGCACAAACAGGGTACAGAGAAACATGTGCAAATAATGAAATCTGCAATATAAGAACAAAGTACACAAAACAAGCGGGAAAACAGAACATGTCCTGGTCACAGAAATAAAATAAACTGTGCTGGAGACAGATGATGTTCTTCCCTGCCTTTTCCTTTGAGAGGGTCAAGGAGCATAAAATAACAATGATGAGTAAGAAAAATTGGGAAAGAAAGGAGCCACCCACTTTAGTTCCAGCTTCCCTAGTGGAAAAGCCCTTGAATCTGACCACCTCCACCTCAGAGATGAAGACTTATCAAGGATAGCTTCAGACTAGATATAAGGAAGAAATTTTTTACAATGAGGGTAGTGAAACACTGTCACAGGTTGCCCAGAGAGGTGCTAGATGCTCCAGCCCTAGAAAAATTCAAGGTCAGGTTGGACGGGGCTCTGAGCAAACTGATCTAGTTGAAGATGTCCCTGCTCACTGCAGGGGGGTTGGATTAGATGACCTTTAAAGGTCCCTTCCAACTCAAACCGTTCTATGATTCTATAAGGATGGCTTATAGTCACCAGCTCCGTGCTGTCATACGCACACAGCTAGTCTAGGACAAGATTGTGGTTACCACTCTTCTATGGGAGAATTATGTTTTTATCACAGTCCAGATATCTGCATTTCTGCAACAGCCCATTTTTCCACTTGTTCTGTGATTCATGGAGCAAAAGTCAATCTAGATATGTGCATCCTCTAGATGATACCTAGTTCTGCTGCAGCAAGAGATGATGGGAGGTAGAAGCAAGGTCATTTTGTGCTCTCTGCAAGCTGGAAAGATAGAGGCTTAGTCCACAGACCGTTACAGCCACGAAGCTGAAGAAGATACTTTTCACCTATGTCCTGGACATATTGAATTCACCCAGGATTCAGTACTGAAAACACTATGAATTCCAGATAGCCAAGTTTGAAATTAAAATATCAAAGGCTTTATACAGCAAGTACACAAAGATGATTCATTATTCCCTTGGAGAGAAGATTAATGGCAATTGTCTCACAGCAGAAATCTCCTTCTAAGCAAGTGAAAGATACCTAAATCTACTCTATTTGGTTTTGACTTGTAGACTCAGAGCAGTTCCATGTACATTTTTTCTCTAACAACTAAATCCATTCAGAGCTTTCCATTCGCAGCACACCTTCTTTACCTAATTATTCCTGCCCAGCATGACAACTCACCATCCTATGATTTTAATAATATAGCTACTTTGGGGGCCTTTCTGTTATTCAGGTCACTGAAATTATTTGGATTAAAAAATATACCCCCAGAGGCATTGGAATGGGTGATGAACTTTTACCCCAAAGAAATGCACATGAAAGCATCCAGATTGTGCATCACCTCTGCGTAAAATGGCCCACTGGTATTTTTATTTTACTATGGTATAGCAAACATAATAATTGTCAAATGCAATGCCCTGGTTTGGAATATCACTAGAAGCATGTATCTCTCCAGTGTTACAATGATATTTGAGGTATGCTGCAAATTCAGTATTATCTTAGCTGAGGAAAGAAATATTCCTTTGAACGTTGGCCACATATAAATGTAAATACAAGCATTCTGGCAATACTAACATGGAGGTCAGCTCTGACATCCTCACTGTAAAGACCCTTCACAGCAACTGAACCCGTGGAAGGTGATTATATGTACTAGTAGCAAGTCCACCCAGTCAAGCCTTGTGCATTCAGAGCAGGGATCAGATGTTCAGGTCTTTTCCTCCTTCTGCCTGCAAAACAGACACAAGACTCGTGTGGCTACAGGAGCAGACCATTCACCAGCACTTGAGGATTTGCATCTTATGGCAGGCTGAAGAAGCAGTCTCGGTTTCCTCTACAGAAGAGGCAGCAAGAGAAATTGGAAAATGCTGCACATTGTATGCAGTCAGCAAAGCTGCCAGGTGAAGGCACTGACCACCTCCAAGGCAACTTCAGAGCTTTCGTTTGGAATTGACACTAAGTGAATGAAATATTTAGCAGTGAAGAGCCTCAGAGTGAAATGTACAGGTTCCCTGGCTTATCCAGGAGATGTTGAATAAGGTAGTGTATTGAGTAATACTTAGGGAGGCAACCTAAAAATACTACTGCCTGAGAAATTCCATGGAAAAGCTGTACAAATAAAGAGTTTACAAGTCTGTTTTCCCTTTCTTCTGGCAGGATGTGAGGTAAATCTGACATGATTTTCACACTGATATTTCTTTCTTTGACATTTAAAGGGGGAAAGAAACATCAGGCACGTGATGAAACCTACCTCACCAGAACTAGATCTGGGGAAACCACCTTCCAATAAGATCAAGAGGGCAAGAAAACAACCAGTTCCTTTTATAGTGAAATTTGGCCTTTTTCTAGTTTTAACAGCACTGTGTGATGCCCATGAAGGAACTTTGTCCTTGTGGACTCTTTCAGATTTTATGATTTGATCCATTTTCCTGGTCAATACACACACACACACAGAGACAAAATCAGAAAACCCCTTCCACCACCTGATGAGGATGATTGCCACTGTTTCCTATTGTTCATTTGTTGAGAATGTGCTTGCCACGACATTGCAAATACTGTTGTCACACACTGAGTTAAGCATCTATAAAACAGCTAGAGAAGAAACAGGTTTGAACAACAACTTCTGCAATTACGAACCTAAAAAATGCTGTTTACATTTGGTTTTGCGCTGATTAGACCAAGGCTGGAAAAGAAGTGATAAATTTCCTGTGCTCGTAAAGCGTCAAGCGAGAACCCCACAGGGGTCTTCCTGGAAGAGCACGTTCAGTTCCCATTAAGGCTGACTCAGCCTCTCATTTCTCTGGAATAAATCAGCTGTCTCCAGCACAAGGGGGCAAGGGCCAGAAGCCACTTTTGGAGGCCATGAACAAGGTTGAACAGATCCTGTTGTTCCATTTGACTTTGCTGCATCATTTAGCAGCAGAGAGCTCATGAGTAGACTGTCTTCTAATACAGAAGAGCAATGGGAATACAGAACTATCAGCTCACAAGAAGCAATATTAGAGAGGCCAGAGAAAACAAGTCGTAAAGCAACAGTTGAAGGATTTCCTGAGAAACTCTGGAAGAACAGCAGTTTTTTGTAACTTCTCTGGCTTCTAAGGTGGACGCACTTCCAGACAGTAAAGGCAGAGATCTGGGTCTGGAATTCCCGTCCACATTCATCTACCAAAGATGAGCCAAAAGTTTAGGTTCGGCATTAAATATCTTTGAGGAAGAACAGAGCTGAAGTTCTGGGCTGAACTTTATCTCTGCTCCGAATGACTGGAATTTCTGGCATTCTCCAGAGAAGAAGGCTCAATGCCAGAAAGATTTGTGATCCTCTAGGCATTTTACACTTCCTTGTGAATGAGAACTGAGGAATGCTTAGGGAGAAATAAGAAGATGCTTGTGTGTCAGACACATGAAAAGCCACCTCCAGTTATTTAACCAGCCCTTAATCAAGACGAGGAACTAAAAGACAGTACCAGCTTATGTATTAATAAAAAGGGAAGGACTTGGAAGATATTCAGACAGCCCTTGTGTTCCCTAGTAGACAGGTAAAAGGGGATGCTGAAGGGACGTTCCTGTCCTGACCCAGCTCTGCTGGTAGAAGGAGTGAACAATTCCAGTGTTTCTGCAATTACTTGCCATTGGCTTTGCCTCAGGGGCTAACAGCTCCCCTCCCTCTGCCAGCAGAGACACTTTAGTGAGAGTTGATCCACTGCAGTTATCAATGAGCTGAACTGGCCCGAACAGCATAGCCGATCAGTTTTCTCATTCTTGAGAGCTGACATCTTCCAGCGTGAGAGATACCAAGCAGCTGTGGAGGGCAACTGGGAGCCGTCTGGCAGGCAGAGCTGGTGTCTCCTGCCAGGTGTCCAGCAAGATGAGCTACATCTTTGCCAGGAAAGGTGGAGGAAAAGGGAATTAAAAGTTGTTGCAAATTCCTTAGCCTTACAGTGACCGGAGGCCAACACCACACAAGTTACACAGGTGATCTCAGAGCACATGAAAGGACATATCTTGTGACAGAGATGGGGTATAAAACATGGAATGATCATCATCTCTGTAATTAAAAAGGGAGACGTAGGACTGAAAGTTCTGGAGGAAATAAGACAGCCTATATTTTCTGTAAGGAGGTATTAGGAAACATGAAAAATGTGTTTAGGAACAAGTGTTGGTGAAGGAGTCAGAAGATACCAAACAGCTTCAGGCGGAGAAGGGGGGAGAAAGGATGGGAAATAGGGTGGAAGGATGGGTTCCTTATTGACTGGGGGTGATCAAAGTCTAGGTAGGGAGTGGATGAGAAAAGAATGGAGAACTATCTTCCTCAGCAGGAGGAGAAGAAACCTCTGAATGTAGCAGCAACATCTGTAAGATGCAGGGACAGTAACATCTCCTAATGGAGGCAAGAACATAGCTGCAGACTGACAAAATTCATAGCCAAATCCTCATTAAAATTATTCTGTTTAAACAAAGAAAGAATTTGCCTGATTTCTCTGTGTCTAACAGACATAGTATTCATAGTCTGGATAGCACCAAACCACACCAAAAGGATCTGACTGCATTGCATTAATCCTGACAAATGAGGTACAGCAGCATTTATGTCCTACTTAAAAAGACAAGTGAAAATACACTCGGAATAGACACATTTTTCACAATACAACATTTTCTTCGCACACATATGTGAATACATACATGCGTGCACAGCATATATCCTAAACTGGAAAATATGCCTTTTTTCCCTGTGAAATGTCAAGCTGCTTTGCCAATGATATCCATTCCTGTCAGTATTAAGGGAGTATTTTTGTTTTCCATGGAGACAAAACCAAACAGCTCTCATCACCCTTGACTGCGAAAGAAAGTCCTCCTTTTCTCATCACTCCTCTCTGGCAATTTTTTATTCTTACGTTAATTACAATTGTCATCAAAGAAAATAGGTAGGGTTAATTATAACGATACTGCTAACAGTGAACTAGGTACTTGATTATGATTCAGAAAAATAGATTTCATTCCATGTTCCCGTGGAAAATTTCCATGTAGTGAGCCAAATCATTCATTCAGCAGGTTTTTGAAGACAGAGACTATTGCTGTAAGACTGAACAGGTACTAACACAGAGGGGCTCTAATGCAATTGCTTACAGCATCTTTGCTTCCTCCTTTAATCTGTCATCTGTGCTGCTAAGCAGTATTTATCCAGTTTATTAAATGCCCCCAAAACTGACTAATTTGAGTAGTAAATGGCACAACAACTATTCGTCTCTTACTTCTTATCACAGATCTGTGCTACAAATAGTGATAACGTAACCCATACTGAGTGCCCTGAAAAAAGAGTATCAGAATACAGAGCAGGAACTTGTGTAAAAAGCACATTAACAGGATAGTAGCTAGCAGACACAATTTGTGCTGTGGGAAATACCAAGGACTAACAACCACATATTTAAAAAAAAACACAACTGTTTTTTTTGTATTAAAAACAAACAAACAAAGTACAAAAAAGAAGTAGAGTACATATTTTTATTACGCATTTACGAGATGTGAGGCACAAGCAAACCCTACAGCATTTTTATTATACTCAGAGGCAAGCTGTCATTGTTTTAGCATAAATATTGCTCAACTGTGTGAGGAGTGAACAAAGAAAACTAAAGCAGAGCACAACCATTTCTGGATGTAGCACTGGTTACACCAACAGTGCTGCGTAGCAGAAGCAGGCATCTTGACAACAGCAGAACAAGGAGAAGGGGACAGACATCCACACAAAACAGGCAGCAGCAAAGAGGAGGTCACAGCCAAGAGCTTTCATGAACATTTACTGAAGACCTATGGATAAGAAACAAAATAAGATTTGTCTACAACAGAAACCAGATTTAATAAATCACTTGTTGAATACAGAATATAAAATATACTCTTTCCTTCATCTAATTTGTAATATGGGGCCCATAAAGGACTTGTATTGCCTGAATTAGAGTGAGCAGGAACCATTGCTCAGTTTCCTTCCCTCTCGTTGCAAGTACGCTCCCACACTCAGATAGTTCAGTGCAGAGCTAATGTGTTTCCAGCTTCCTGAGTGACGCTATGCTTGCACTCAGTAACACCTAACCAAAGCATCTCCTGACACCTTCCTCTGGGGGGAAATGGTGCTGTCCTGCTGGATGACGACCCATCCTCTGTTATAATTCACCTGCATCCCTTCTAGTCTAGGCTATGGCAAGGAAATATATCTATGCTTTGAAGCCATGACCCTTTAGGAAGTTATGAATAGTCAAGAATAGTGCAGGACAGGGAGCTGTGCACACCCTGCGATCAAGACACTTGATTTTACTCTTCCCACCACTCTCTAACAGAAAACTAATCCCTGTTAAACTTCTTGGGATTTCCTCTCAAGGTCCTTGGTGGTTCGGCATATCTGAAGGGACAAGAGAGGAAACCATTGACTGCAGCTCCTTGTCGTGCCTTCACAGGCACAATAACATTTTCTGCCATAAGAATCAAACTCACTGGTGCTGGCAGTAGTGCTTAGGGATCTGGCTGTCCCTAGTAAGAAAAAAATCCCATAGGAGCTAAACACCATCCATGACAGTTCCCACCATTTACTGACCTAGATTTTCCTTCTCTGGCAGAAATTTCTAGAACCATGAACTTATAAACAAAACCAAGGAAAAGCCTTTGAAGTGTTACTCACACCTCTGGCACACAGTTAATATGGTGGCACTCAGAGGGAGAGAGATAAAGCCAGACATCACAGAAGGTAGTCTTCTACACCACTTAACATTTAGTCGAAGAACAAGGCACTACAGTGGATGAGGTTTGGGAGGGAAGGCAAGCAAACTGGCAAACTGGTAGCTGAAACTCTTGGTTTTAAAGTTTGCCTATTTTCTGCCATGGTTCCACACTAGAAGCAACAGTTTGATTCTCAAAAGAAGATGAATCTCGGCTCCTCACAATGCATTTTAACACTGATGACCAAAGGAGAGGTCAGTTCCTTGCCCAGCTCTCATCTGCAGAGGCTCCTCTACAGCCTGAGTATTCTGTAGAGCAGAATGCCCTGTATCAGTGTGCTTCAAACCCAAGTGCACCTCCGGCCTTCAAGGCAAAGGGGATTTGTCACTGAGCAGAAATACCCTAGAAACAGAATATTCTTATCACAGGGCTGATACACCGTCATGCTCTTCATATTTAACCTCTTGCTGACACCATTTGAGTAATGCCCCCCCCCCCCCCCCCCTTACCCAATGAAGCCATGAGAATTTTGCTACTGGCATGAATATGCAGGGAGGAAGCAGGCTGGTTTTTGTTCTTACTAACAGAAACTTTCTTAAAACAGAAAAAAAACAATTAAATAAAATCAAGGGCATACTGCAAACTGAGCGTAAAGTGTAAGAGAACAAAATGAAAAAATCCTACCCTCACATTGTGCTTTGAGTTGTAACGTCACTGTGGCTTTCGTGTTGTGCATTTCATTCACCGCTACACATGTGAAATTTGCCTGCAGATCCTCCTTTTTTATTTCAGTAATATGCAAAGTGGTCTCTCTGTAATATTCTTGCTCCCGTCCTTGAAAACTAATAGACAGAGAAAGAGCTGGTACCATTGGCTTTTAATTGCTAGGTACAGTTTGCATAGAAGAAAGATTACTCTGCGTTACATATACTTACAAATGAGTTTTTTCATGAAATCTCGAAAAATCTAAGTATTTCACTGGGACGTTATCCACATCCCATGTGACAACATCCATCGGCTGTTTCTTAATCCCCAGGCGGGCCTGACATTTTAGAGGCAAAGCAGCACCTATTCAAGATATACAGAGATGTAAATATTCCTTGATGAAAAACAAGTACAATTCTATTTTCCTCATAACATTTTTTTCTACATACAAATCTTCAGAACACCTGTGAGTTTTGTCTTAACTATTTTGACATATTTTTCTGAACTACTGCTGAAGAAGTGATGCATAGAAGAGACTCAACAAGAAATAGTAAAATGAGACTTCTAACAAATTATCTAATACAACACCAAGGGTTACAAAAGGGTTTATTTATATTTGCTATGATAAAGGCAACGTAGACCTTGCTTGTGATATTTAACCAACGTAATCAACTACTGAGGAACATGGAAAGTAAATGCTGGTTTACACACAAATGTACATGGAAGTAACATAATTCAATTTCAGTATGCGTTATTTTGGTTAAGGCTTGCATACAGAGTCTTATCTTGGGTTTTATTCAATCTGGTCAAAAGTGAAGTAAACCAGTCCAAGCAAAACTAAAACAGGAAGTTACTTATTAAGTATTTGTCATTAGGAAATATTTATTCCAAAGTGAGAGTCACTGTTGCACTGGAAGAAGGTATAATTACAACACTTCAAATTATTTCCATGTAAATCTGCATCTGAGCAGGGCTTAGATAGGACTAACAAATCTTATGACTTATATCCTGAATTGGTATTAGGGAGCACGGAGAAATCTCCAATTTTTGCAAACAGGAGACAATAGATCCAGTACATCAAATGGTTTTTAAATGTAAAGTGTATTTGCTCCATGCAAGCAGTGCCAGATTACTTATTGTCCCAGAGGGGTGGGCAGAGCCCACAGAGTACTGGAGACTGAGCATCTTATTAGAGAAGGAATGTCTTGGAGCAGAGATCATCTAATTCTGGCTGACAAAGGAACTAGGGGAAAGAGGAAAAAAGAACAGGAATGACAGTCAATATAGCAAGTCCCTGAGCCACGGTACGTGGCACCTCAGACGGGGCCCAGGGCCCCTGCTACCAGAACAGGCTTGCTGTAGGACAGAGAGAGTGGAGTGGTAATTGCCATCCCTTCTCCCAGTGGCCCAGATTCACCCCACCTGCCCTGGGACACAGGCGTCCTGGGCTACCTATTTATGTCTTGGGTGGGCTCAGTAGTTTTCTGGAGAGGTCCACCTTTCTCCGTTGACTACACAAAAACCCCAGACGGCTCTCACTCCTACCACAATCACCTTGCTCTGATGCTGCAAGTTACACAGGGTGACTCTGAATCGCTGAGAACATCTACGGTCCTAAACGAAAGGGAGCCAGGGAGCAAGCGCTCGTCGTGGGCTCTCCAACCTGCTATTTCTATGTTCGCTCCTTGGTCCTGCCTTTCAGCCCTCTCGGTACCTTCCAACCAGACAGGTCTGCTCAGCGCTGGCCAATACGGACATGAGCCAGGCAGTGCTCCATGGCCTCAGGGCCGGTGACCAGACCCTTCTCTCCTTCACTCATCAACAGAGACACAGCCACTGTCTCCAGAACCTACCAGACACGCCTTCTGTCTACCAGAACCACAAGTAACAAGGAGTATCTCTAGTCGCAAGAATAGTCCATCCTTCTCTCTTAGGGATATCGTCAAGCAGTTTCAAGGGGTTTAGATAAAGACCTCTTTGCCGTGGATGGAAGCTGTGACCCCTTCAGCTGAGATGTAATAACTGACCATGTAAGTAATCCTGCTCCATCCCAGTAAGGGTAGAATGGCTTATTTAAATACCCTTAAACTGCTGCTTTATACCTAAATAACCCATCAGTTATATCTAACTTCACATCACTGTGCCTGAGGTGAATTAAATCTGGTGAACATTACGGTGCAGAAATTTAATGAAAAATCCCATCATTAAATCTTCTTGAAGATCCCCATGTTCACTAGGCCATCACAAAATGTTAATTTAAAAACAATTTGAAGTCCATACTTACCAAGCTCTACTTCTATTACATCTTTATCTTTTGGAAATAAAATTTGAGGAGGTAGAGGTGAGTGTTTTGCTTTAGAAATTAAGAAGGGAAAGAAAGCACATATTAGGAAGTTGTGAAAAAGCATTTTGTAAGCTAATAGTTATAACCCGTACAGTTAATATTTTAAGATCCCAAAGCAGAATTGCAAACTAACACTACAACATGTCTGTTGGGATAATCTGATTTTATTCCTATGACCAAATGTTCCTGGGGAGTCTGTACATGTTAATAGTTTAAGTGTTTTCTCCCCGTTTATTTCATTTTTACCTTTGTACATAAAGAGCAAGGAAAATTTTTAGTTTCTCAAGTACTGTTTTAACTGTTATAGGTTTGTATGTTTTCTCAGTTTCTTATTTTGTTTTTAAAAAGAGATAAATTCCTTCAGACATTTAAGAAATTACTCACATCCATGATGAGAAATAACGAATATGCACTTTCACGCAGTACCTGAACTGGAGACCCTCCAGCCCACAGCTGCCTGCCTCTGCTCCCCCCCGCTTCCCCCAGCTCTGCAGGTTGACAGGAGCATCCTGACATCTCGTTCCCAGGCCCCTCTTCCTGCTGCCTGCGCACCGCTGCTGCACACAACTGCTTCCCGTTACACCGGTCTGCCACGACACTGAGCATCCCTCATCATTACTTTTTAGCAGGAATACTACTTTTCCTTTGACATATTTATTTTTCGTCCCCACTAATAATTGTTATGGACAGGTCCAAACTAGATCCATCTGCTTCACTTATGTATTTGGATCCTTCAGATTTGTTTCCCTTGGTGCATTTTTCTCTTTTTCTTGCCCTTTATGCTGTTTCACATTTCCCACTCCAAACACATTGCTTGCTATCTGTTCCCCCATTAAGCTTTTCTGTCTCAAGGCACCTCTGTGAAACCCATAACCATATTTCCCTAAAAAATCTGCAGGCGCTCATTTAACTCCCTGCTTCCCAGGCTGCCAGAAAAGCAATTCTCTTTACCCAACCTAACCATTTCTAATTTTCATTAGCTGGATCTGCTAAAAAAGAAGTCAAGAGAAAGTCAGTAACTTCCTGGCTAGCTGACTATGTTAAGTTCTTAGCTGCCAGCATTCAGAGGCACAAGGTCCTCTGGGTCACTGTGGATCTGCAAGGCAACAGGAACGTACATCATAAGCCAATATTATCAAAACATAATAGCTCCACTCATCAGCGTACTAACTTTAAGGGCTGATAAAAACTCAAAGAAGTTGTTATTAAGTACTTTGAATTTAGTAAAAACTGGGGCAGACACAGCTCAGATTTCACATGTTATGTTGCAATCCCTTCTTTCTGCAACGAGTTCAAAAGAAAGTCAGATTATCTTCGAAATGAAGTAATCTGCCTGAATGCAACAAAGGCTTTTGTAAATTTGGATGTCTTTGTGCCAAATAAACCCCAGCAATTCTCATTATAACCCAGACACAACAATATTCCCGACCAGTTAGTGAAGTTTTGATGAAAGTACATTCAAACAAAAATTAAGTGTTAGGCAGAGAAGTGTCACGTGGAACAACACGGTATTACAGAGAAGAGGGGGAGGAAAGGCACGACACCTCCTAAACTACTGTACTAAGTCTCAGCTCAAATCTATCTTCTGCCGAGTTCAGAATAACCAGAACAAACTCTGCTACTGAGATCTTGGCACAGCAGCAAAAACTGGAATCAAGGCTCCTACGCTCCAAAGCTGCATTCTGCGCACAAAGCTGGGTGCCTCCCCACAGCAAAAGGGTCTGACGTCAGTCTGCAAATTAACATTATCTATTTTTGAAAAAATGTAACAACAAAGAAAACCCCAAAACCAAGCCCCCAACAACCCTTCCTTTCTGTGCTACCAGACAGCTCTACCAGCCACAGTATGTAACCAGAGTCCTTAGAGACTTTCAGCAAAAAGATTAATGTGACCAGGTCTGAATTTACCCCCATCTTGCTCCATTTGGATCCCCATCCACAAAACTCACCTAAAAAAGCTGATCTAAAGTTTCATTAAGAAGATAAAACAAACCAACTGAAACTCTTTTTCTCTTTAATATACAAAAGAACCTTTCTTTGCTTTGAGTAAACATCTATCTTTTTTATCCTAGCAAGCTACAAAATGAGAGTCTTACCCTTACTTATGAAAATCCTTGTTGCTGATACATTAAACACATTTCCTTTATGAGTGTAGCTAAATTGACAAGTATAATAACCATCATCCTCCTTTCTTGGATTGTTAATAAAAATATATTTTTCTGCCTTGAAGTATCTCTCTCCTTGAAGAGGTTTGCAGTCCTGGAAAAGAAAACTTTCTTTATTTGGCTGCAAATAGCTTCTCACGGTAATCTGATCTGCAACTGGCACTACCAGGGTTTTATTTACCTTATACCACTGGATGATAGTAGCATTCTTGTAATTGTCAATTGTAGGACAAACAATTTTTCCTCTTCCAGTGTCATTTGGGTAACGAATCTGATTTGGGAAACATACTCCTTGCTTGTATGGATGCACCTGCACACTCATGTTGAACGACTTTGTACGATTATTCAAACTTTAAAAATGGAATAAAGACATGTCAGTGATAACATTTTTATATACAATATACTAAACATTTGTAACAAATGTGAGCTTTCTTATAAACATATGGATGGTTATCATAGTTCAGTCACATATTGATTTTTAATGACCTGTCATAAAAATAGCAATTGCAAAATGAAGTTACATGAATTGGTGTATATCATGAAGAAATGGCATCACTTCCACAGATAATAATTAGACTGTATTATTAAAACATTCTTTTTCCAGTCTTATGCTTTCACTTTTCAATGTTGCACTTACTTACAAATGTATAACACAAGTGTAGTTTCCAGAATCCTCTCTAGAAGTTGGCAGAAACCAAAGAAATCGTTTTAAGGAAAATATTCGTGATCCCTCTTCTTCTGCCGGAATTATTTTGTTAATGTCCGTGTGATACCAGGTGAATTTCACTGATGAACTCAACTGGGGACATTTTATAACTAAAGCCTCACCTTCCATTACATCAACTGCAAATGAGCACAAGATAAAAATCTCAGATTAATTAAACTTTAGCCCCACTGAGTCGGAGGAGAACT